ATTTAGGCTTTTTTAGTAGATAGTTATTTAATCTTTGCTTTTACCTTTAACATCAATAGTTCATAAACTACACTGTCCAGTTCTGAAATGAGATTTTTTTAAAAAGAAAAAAGGGCCCTCCTCTTAAGTACACCCTCCCATCAGGATTGACCATCGTATAAAATGTTCCAAGATGGGGACTGGACACTGTATTAGTTACATTAGATTATTAGGTTTAGAATGAAGTGAGAAAGTGAGCAGTTGCTTTATGGAACCTAGAGGTTTGCTTGCATGGCTATTTATTTTTACCTTGCATGAGTGCATGTCTATTAGATACCTTTTGTTGCTTGTTGACTGATTTATTATGAAATCCTCTCTTATACCCACAGCAAAGACCACCAGATGTTTCGTAGAAAATATGTTGCAAAAAAAAACTAAAGAAATAGAATATTTTAAATGATCTGTATTTGAAACTTAGTTATTTCCAAGAAAGTCAAGATATTAAATGAAATCCTCAGTAAAAGTTACCTATAACCTTATAATCTATAGATATATTTTAAAAAAACCGAAAACATTTCTCTAATGTTGGAAAAGCTAACTTTAGTGATAATTGAATCTAGCTTGAACATATATATATACACCAAAATGGCTGTTCTTAAACGATTTAAAAACATCATAGAAAAAATAAAAAGTGCTGCTTTTATTTTTTTATTTTTAATTTTACTTGAATATTTAATTTTTTTTAACAATTTTTATAGAAATAACGGACAATAGTTCTCATACTGATTCCATCCAGATGAAAAATGACCTAAGAATGTAAATTAAATCTTTAAATTTTTTAATGAGTTAAAAAAAACACATTTTGTCAAATGAAATCATTTCAATAAATTAAAATAAATGTTGATGTTACTATGGAAGTTATAGGAAAGAAAAATATGCTAATTAATTTCTATCTGAAAATTCAAATTATCTGTTTTAACTTATTAAGATTATATATAATATAATATAAAATTATATATATTATTGTGAGAGCAGTTTTACATTAAAAAAAAGTAATTTTTCGCAATTTTATTGAAAATTTCTTTAGTTCTGCAGAACCTCATAATATATTTTAAGAAAAACCACAATACATGCAGATCAGTTTATAATACAGTCTTAAAAATATAGTTGCACAATAGATTGTCCCTCAAGAATAAAATTAAATAAATTAGCAGGTAAATTAGAAAAATTTATGCTAAGAATTTTAATAGGGGCGGCTGATCATATTTGCTGATTATGAAAAAAATGTTTCGCTTGAAAGTCATTCTTCTTAAATTCTATCTTCCAACTCATTCGCAATTATAAAAATTATAATTATAAGAATTATAATTTCAAAAATAAAATGTCGATTCCATGATGGAAAATCACTCATTAGAATGTGAAATCGATGGAAAGCTCATTCATGAACTGAAAATAATTGAAGAAGAACGACAAAATAATTTCATTGATGCCGCAAAGAATATCTTAAGAATTTTCTCGATGCGTTTGACTAAAATTTAGCTCTATTTGTGAAGAATTTGAAAAGTCACATAAACAAATCGCTTTTCTAACACAAAGATCATTCCTAATGATGAGACGGAATAATAGAACTTAATTTATTTAGATCGTAGAACATAACAATTTTATTTAAATTTATTATCGTTTGCTTTTTAAAATAAAACGATACAAATTCCATCTTATAGCTCGCACACAATTCAATAATAAATAACTCACTCACCAAGTTATACTTGGTTGAAAACAACTCAAGTATCGCTTAAATATCTGCCACTCAAGTTCGGTTTAACGCAAAGCAAGTATTTTGATGAAATATAGGTGCATTAAACTCAAGTTGAGTTAAATCATTTACAACGTGATTATGAATTGAATTTTTCATAAAGTAAACAAGAATTTTCAAAGTAAACAAGAATTCATAAAGAGAATTCATAAAGTAAACAAAAATATTGCTTATAGAATAATTTTTTCAGACACAGTAGACATTTCTTGATTCTTCGCATTCGGGAAAAAGTTAGCAAAATTCGTAACTTGCGCCGTCAAGTTACCCTGTTTTTTTTCAGATTTCTTGGATTGCAAAGAAGGAGACAAGGAAAGACCAACAATGGAAATCATAACAAATGTGAGTATTCTGAAAGGTCAAAAACACTTTCTGTCACTTTCTTATTCTTTTTTTTATGGCTTCTGATATTAATAATTTTATTTTCGCCTGCATGATATGATTTAAATTACGTTGTTTATTTTTTTTATTTTAAAATATTTTCGCTCAGAAATATGTCCAAAAAAAAGCGCACTGCTTTTTTTCATTTTCATTTTTTTGTGCCTTGATTGCTTGGTTTACATTTAGTTTATTATTCGCTAAAAATTTTATTTCTGAAAAGAAAAAGTGAAAGAATTCCTTCAAAATCCAATCCACCTCTTGTTGTATTTTTTATATATCCTTTGCAATCCTCTCATCCAATTACATTTTTTTTTTGAAGAACTGAAATTGCTTGCCCAGATACAGAGCAAAATCTATTGCCGTTAAATCAACACAAATAGCCTAAAATTATATTTACTAAAATACTAGCTGAACATAACAAAAATAACTAACATTGTTCTTAAACACCGCGAAAAGCTACTTTCGAGTCGAAAGAAAATATATTGAGGAATTAATTCTTGTGGGCATGTGTCCGTCCTTGAAATTAATGGGTTAGAAAAGAAAGAAATAGAATTATTCTAGAAATAGTTCAACCCTAAATACAGACGATAACTTTATCAAAATTTATAACGAATGTTTGCTCGAATCAGACTGTTTTTTTATATATTACTTATAAGTGATTTGTATATTACATGTAGGTGAAATATCGAGCATTTATCACTTATATCTGAGTCCTTATATTTTTATCCTAATAAATAGATATTACTGAATGTGGGACGCATACGGTATTTCTTATTAAATAGTCTTAATAAATAACTGTATTCTACGTGTATTTTTAACAATAGTTTGGGAAATGAATGTTATTTTTCAAAAGATATTCAGTCCTTCATCATTTGTAATTAACGAGTTTCAATAATGATTTGTAGCCCACAAATATGTATCAGCCATTCTTTTATCTAAACAAAATTTAGTATTCCAAGTTGAATAGCAATACTTTTCAAAAATATATAAAATATATCTCAATCGAAATTTGACAGTTGCCCAGTCCACCATCTGACAAGGGAGGGGAACTGCTTTTCCTTAACAACAAAATCAAAAATTAATTTTTAGTAACGAGCCTATTTCTCTGTCCCTGATTTAATACCCAATAATGTTGGCGATTTGAATCTCGTGTATTCAGTGATATCCACGGTATTTCCATATCCACGTTTATCCATTCAGTCTTGAAAGAAATACAAAAAAAAAATTATTTAGGTCCAGTTTCAATGTCGAAGCTACCAAATTTTTGTCCTTCAACCTTTGTTCTCTTGTAAGATTAATATGAACCTTCTGCGACTGACAACAAGATATCATTTTCATGCTAATACAAATAACTACAACTCACTACAGGATATCATTTTCAAGTTAATAGAAATGACAACAACTCACTAAAGGATATTATTTTTCTCATTATTACAAATGATTTCAACATACAACAGCATATCATTTTAACGTTAATACAAATAACTACAACTCACTACAGGATATCATTTTCAAGTTAATAGAAATGACAACAACTCACTAAAGGATATTATTTTTCTCATTATTACAAATGATTTCAACATACAACAGGATATCATTTTAACATTAATACAAATGACTACAACTCACTACAGGATATCATTTTCAAGTTAATAGAAATGACAACAACTCACTAAAGGATATTATTTTTCTCATTATTACAAATGATTTCAACATACAACAGGATATCATTTTAACGTTAATACAAATGACTACAACTCACTACAGGATATCATTTTCACTTAGTAAAAATAATAAATGAATATATCCAACATTTTTGTTTTAAAGTGATGCATAAAATGTTTCGAAATCACATAATCATTTGTTTGTGCACTATCAATTTATATGTCTACATAGTTGAGTAATGGAATTAAATATTTTCTGACATTAAAACCACTGATTAAATCTCCTTTGCTTTTCCTAACCTTTTAAATTATATATATATTGGGAGAATTCATCGATCTCAGTAGTTATTGACTGAACAGAAAGTAATCCTTTGGCAGTCTTCTCGTTGTATACTTATAAAAATCACGAACATTCCAATCAGTCAAATCATTATTTTATTTTTTTTAAAATTAAGTCTCAGTAATCATGAGTTTTTTAGTAACGCATTTTGTTTCTTTTTCATTGAAAAACAATTTAGAGCTTTAAAAACTTAATTTTCAGCAGAACTATCTTTTTAGAGCATTAATTGATGCTTAGAATAGAAACAAAAATTCAAATTAGAATTCTCTTTATAGAATTCAGGCTTAGATTCGGAACAAAATATCCCAGAAGGATTAAAAATAAAATAAACATTAAATTCCGAATAGGATAGGATTCTGCTTATAAAATGCAGAAAAGGATTAAAAATGAAATAGGTATCTAGTCATATAATGTGGAATATTAATTTCTGGTTACATTAACAAACATGACGAAAGATTTCACCATAAATCACCATATATCAGTATTTTTTTGTGAGTGAAACAAAATGAATTGTCATTGTTTCGTCTGAAAAATCACCATTTTAGGGAGTTATGTGTAATTTCCTCAAAAAAGAGAAGAATTTTTGCCCTTAAAATGTCAATTTAGTCTCTAACGATTAAATCTAGTGAGACAATTATGTATAAATATTAGATTAGTTTTTTACTCCGATTGAGCCATTCACACTAACGTACGTACTTTCTTTTAAACTTCAAATCGTAACATGTAAGATTATATAATAATGTAAAACTATGTAAAAATCAACTTTGCTGTGCATTAAAATATACTTTCTTGGTGTGAAATATCTACTTTGTATCTTTTAATCAAGGCTTTCATGGATTCAGTTATATTCCTTCACCGGCGGCAACGGATCACCCCGCCTTCTTCGTCGATGCTTTCTCTGCAACAGCAGTGTCCACGGCAGCACTGGCAAATCACATGACCAGCGTGGGCCAAACAGAACCTCCCACTGGACTAGCTCCGATGGGAAACTCACCCATCAAGAGAGGTCACCCATTTGCTGCGCAAATACCCACTGGTAAGCGTGCTCCTTTATAAAGTGTGTCCCAAAATTAACGCAAGATTTGAATTTGCCGCCATTTTCGCAGTAAATTGTTGGCCACCCTGAAATAAGAACACTTTAACAGCTGAGAGTTTAGGGTTAGTAAAAATGGAGCGTTCAAGACTGTGCCACATGCCATACAGCTAGTGAAACAATTCAATTACTGCATGAGACACATCCTGGTCTCGTGTACCCTCTTGTTGCAGTCATCAGAATTGGCCCTCTAGATTGTGTGATTTAACACTATTAGATTTCTTCCTATGGGGTTATTTGAAGTGAAAGGTCTTTTTCAACAAGCCCTCAACCACAAGAGGAAATTAAACGCTGCATCAACGAAATTGAGTCAGAATTATACATAAAGGTCATGAAACATTTCGACAAAAGAGTGCGCCAGTAAATCCGTGGAGGCCACTTGCCCGATATGTTATTCCATAAATAACCCCCTATCCTATGTACTTTATGATTCAATGAAAAAATATCAATCTAAAGACTAAAAACTATGTTTTCTATTTAATTCATTGGGATACCCTCTGTATCGTATAACTCACTGATTTGTGTATTTAAAGATTGTTTATTGTCTTTGTAGTGATCAATAATTATGGATTTGCCTCCCCTTCCCCTGTAAACAACAGAGTCTTCCCGGCAACCAACAGCCCTGGACCCATAGACATCTATACTTCCAATCAAGATGGGGTCAGTTATGTCCAGGATCAATCCACACCATTTCAGGCTGTTAATAGAGTAAGAACACACATTTCTTATTTTATGTTATAGAGTTGTCTCTCAAAGGTTTTTTTTTTGTCTCTCTTGTAGTTGAATGACTTCTATGTTTTGCATTTGAGATTTTTCTCACAGCTGGTTTCAAACACAAAAGGAATCCGTCTTCTAAAAAATAAAACCCATAATTATGAATGTAATTTTACACTATTGAGTAATGTGAAATACTACAACCTATTTGTTCTTTTGCAGGGCCCACTTATTGCTGCGGCATTTACTAACGGCTACCATTGAACGACGTCGATCGTTTATTCAGGTAATCCTGCTTTATTCAGTTATTACTCTATGATATGGAGCATATCTGTTAAAGTTTCCATTTTTTACAAAAATTGCCGACAGCAGTTTAAAAGTTACTATTTTTAAACAAGGCTGATTCCCCATACGTTGTTGTTATTAACAAAGCACTAAATAATGTTAGGTCTTGTTTCTGACAGCACAGGGAATATTAAAGCACTCAAATTGAACATAGTGCTGTTTTTTGACAGTGTAGTTCACTGTCAGTAACTGCCTGTAGAATGTCTGTAGTTATTCCTATAGGCATAGAAGGACTATAGAATACCTAGGTATTCTATAGAATGTTTTCAGGCAAAGTATGAAATATGAGAAGTATTGCATACTTTCCCTAGGCATTGTATATAATACCTAGGCATTCTAAAGAATGACAAATGCTATTTAAGCAAAGTATGAAAAAAACGTCCTGATGAGGTTATTATGTATGCATTTCTCAAAAATAAAAATGTTATTCTGAAAAAATAATGAGAGTGCAATTTTAAAAAAATTATTCAAAATGCTTAAAGAAAAATGAAAGTTGTAGAAAACATAAGTTATGCCTTTCTTATTGAGAGAAACAAAATTTTCCTATAAAAAATAAGAAATTAACCTACTTGCTGCTACATGGTAGGCTTGAATGACATTTTGAATGTGATACTAAAAGAAAACACAAATATCTTTAATTCTAAATAGAAAAAACTTCTTTGAAAAAAACGCACCAAAAAGCAGCAGAAATTTCAGAAAAAAGTAGCAATAAAGAAAACGAAGGAAATAAAAATAAAAATATGACCACCGAAGCCGACGTCTTCAGGGGGTACCGGCCTCGGTAGCCATAAAAACAAAACCATTTCTAATTGAGGGAGAAGCAAATGCCTAAATTAACTCCCTCAGTACCCCGATGGTTTTGTATAGAAGTCCAGGAAAAAACATGAAATACAAATAACAAATTAAGAAAAGAAACTCAAACAAAATCATCAGAAAAATAAAAACTCACATAGTCACAGGTAAAACATCAATTTCACAAGCAAGCCGAATGAAGGGCGTTGTTTTCTTTAGTTTTTAGTGTTTTCTTTTCATTCGCCTTGCTCGTGAAATTGATGTTTTACCTGTGACTATGTGAGTTTTTATTTTTATTTTTTTGCAGTACACGATGCCCCTGAAGACGTCGGCTTCGGTGGTCATATTTTTATTTTTATTTCCTTCGTTTTCTTTATTTTGAATGTGACATTTTCGAATGACATTTTGATGAATCGGAGATTTATTTTATACTTTGCCGATTTCTCATTTGACATTCTATGGAATGCTTAGGAAATGTATGAAATATAAATCGCTTCATACATTGCCGACTCGTTTTAGGCATTGTATACAATGTCTGGGCATTCAAGGAATTCCGGATTTCAAACATTGCCGGTAACATATCAACTTTATAGATAATAATGTAAATTATCTACCTAGCGATTTGACTAGATTATCCCCATAAAAATACACTTGTGGAAGTAATGTTTCAAACAGTCTCTTAAAAATCAAAACAAAATATATTTTTTTTAGAAAAGTGGGAACTTTAACCATTAATATGCAAAATCTTCCGTATTGATCACCTTTAATAAATAATATTGTTATTGAAAATTCTTATTTGTAATAAAGTAAAAACAGTACACGATCCCAAATGAATACACAAGCGAAGATATAACGAATTGGAAAAACGCATTAAAAAAAACATCAAAACCTGTTTGATTGTTGGAACAGAAGCAAAGAATGCGTTTTGTTTGTAATCTGGGTTTGAAACCATCGCTCTTCACAGTGATTTTGTAATATTACTTTGTGATGAATTTTCGATACGAATTTTAAAGTCTGTCTTTGTTTGAGCAAATACTCTCTTCTTGCAAGTTTAATTGTATAGATGAGAATTTTTGATTTAGACAAGTTTATTTATTTATTTATTCTTTGAAGAAGAAGAAATGTTAGCCAAATTCTTACGAGATGTTATGGCGTTTTTCAAACGCCATAACAGGAAACTTTTTCTCTGTATTAAATTTGCTTAAAAATCATCTCTTGGAACTTATTTTCTTTTAAAATAAACTTAATAACAGTTCTCTTTTTAAATACAATAATGGGATTAAAAATAGTTCAAATGAAACTTACCCTAAATATAACAATTGATTATCTAGAAAAAAATGTGAAGATAAATAATATTTATTCAAAGAATATTAGATTTTCATAAATAGAATTCAGCGCATGGACAAAATCCTAGAATAGCCCAGCCCTTGGCGACCTTTTGAAATCCCACCAAGTTGGCGATTATTGCTTAGATCAACGCTGTTGTTTTATTATTAAAGAAACAATTCATATTATTACAAATTTATTAAAATAATTTTAATAAAATAAAATAAAAAATAATTAAAATAGACGATCTGTAAGATTGCAACTTATCTCCCCGAAATATCTTCCAGAAACCAAGTTTGGCGAGATTTCAAAAAATCGTCAAGGGTTGGGCTGTTTTTCGATATCATTTTATTTTTCTTGGAGATCGACAAATTTTTAAATCAGACAGATCACAAAATATTTTACTACATTAAAAGCGATTTCATTTCATCTGCATATATTATGGAATGAAACGCTTCCTCGGTGCAAAAATGTATGATATTCAAGTAATATTTATCAGGAAATTACTATACTTTTCTTTCATACAACTTTGTTTTGCTAAGCGCATAAAATATAAGGCGCAATAAAGTTATTTCGCATTCAGAGAAATGTTTCCTTGCAACTAATAGCGTTGAAAATACAAATAATAATATTTTTCATACTCTTTAAAGGGACCAGAGCCGTGGTGGCTCAGGAAATAGAGCGTTTGCCTTCCAATGAGGTGAACTGGGTTCAAATCCCAGCGATAGCCGGTCGAAACGAATTCCGCATCAGGCTTGCACCGATCACGGTGCCCACGTAAAACATCCTCAGTTGTAGACGGATCATGGATTAGAGTCCCGTCTAATCTCCATGAAAAACCATGAAGAGCAAATGCGGGTTAGTTCCATCAAAAAGGCTTCCAGGAAGGCAAAATTACTTCCACTACTTGATCTAGAAGTTCACTTGTCTTCTGGGTTGGGTCCAACATTACAAGGCTTCGGAGTGGAACCCCTTGACATACGAAGACGTCTGGGAGACGTCATTTGTTTCTTATGTCAAAACACTAATTGACGTGTCTCAGACGTCTTCAACTTGGAGGTGCCAACTTGCTCCTGACAGCAAATAAATATCTTAAAGTGGTAGTTTAATAAATTCAATTTAGTAGATTTTTATCCACCACTATTTCTAAATAATTTGTTGGCTTATATAATTCACCCCTTTATAGTAGTTATGTCATGCTATACCTTTTAAAAAGCAAGCAAAAATAGTCAAATATACGTAAAAAAATTTAGTTTGTAGTTATTTACTGTTTTTTTTTTGTAATTATTTTGCGTGTCCGGAGTCGTTGGCATCTCTGTCAACATTCCGTTGTGAGTTGTTGTTTACAGAGCAATCAAAGATCATTTCTATATCAAGAAATTACATGCCATTGGGTTAATAGTCGCAAACCCAAAAAATTGGATCGGCTGTTCAACGACGGTTATAAATTATAAATAAATAATTAAAAGGGGCCACCTATATTGATATTTTGAAATTCAGAAAAATGTGAGTTCAGGTAAGTTTTAAATGCAGAAAAAATATATGAAAAAGCAAACAATTTATGGTTGAACTACGTAATTTGTTTGCATTATTTTGAAAACATTTTCCTCAGCTCAATTTTCTCTAATCTTTAAAATAAAAATGATCCTCCCTACATTGCTTTCAAAACGTGTCTATGATTTTTTTTTAAAAACTCTATATTTTCCCAAAACGTCATTCGAGTTTCCAAGTACCGTAATTAAAGTACATAAAAAGATTCCAATTGAAAACCTTCAACTGATATTCAATAATTCTAACTCTCTCTCTTTGGTTGTTCAATTTGTAGATTCCGGAATTTGAAAGACAATGTAACGAATCAAGCTACATTAAAGAAACAGTTCCTTTTTATTAAAAACACATTTATTTGACAATCACGCATAAATTAAAGAAAATTAAATTCAAATACCCGTAATGGGTTAGTAATAACCTTGCAAAATAAATGGAAAAAACCGTAACGGGTTAGTATGAACCTGAAATTCAAAAAAAAAACTATTCTCTTCAAAATTAACAACTTTCTGATNAAAAAAAAAAACTATTCTCATCAAAAGTAAACAACTTTTTCCTTTTTAACCCTTTGACGCAGAATTTTTTATTCCAATACGGCAAAGGATTGCAACCCCATATCGATATCGCCCGCCTAGGACAGATTTTTTTAAATTTTAGTTTAAATATATGAATCTAAAAGATTTAAGGATTAATGGTAATAAAACATTTTAAAGAGAATGCAAACTAGAAGGTTCCTAATATGAGATACTCTTTAGAAAATTACGTTTAGAACATACTAATTTGTTTATTGTTTTGCAGCGCCTTTGGACGTTGAAGAATGTGGATTTGTTTATGATCCTTCCTGCTGTTCTTTTTTATATCGGCACATACATTACCAGCCTCTCACTGTTTCTTAAGTTCTATATGCTACAAGGGTTCCAAAACTTTAGTGGATATGAAAGAGATATTTTGGTTTTCATCTCGAGTTACTCCCCCTCCCCCATGAGTGTGACTCCAACAAGTGCCACCAGGTTTGAGTTCCAAGCAATAAATTATAGAAGAGGCTAAACCCTAAATTTCGAACCTTGGTGGAGTTAAAACTGGATGTTCATCGTTTTATCTTTTCTTCTCTCTAATCTTCTGTCCTCCAAATGAGGAGAGATTAACTTTCTTAGTGGGGAGTCCTCCCTTCAAGACAATGAACAAGAACAATCGTGATATACTATAATGTGTTTATGTTAACAAAATGTACTCATAAATAATCACTGAACACACGAGATAATAGGTTTGTGAAGTGGAATGGTGATATGACTTTTTATGTTTATCTTAAAGCAATACTGAAAAAAAAGTATACATACATATATATATATATTTAGCTTGCTGTATATTTATGCATTTTTTGCAGTACGAGACTGGAATCGAATAGCTGACGTGTGACCCTATTTAATCTGACAACCCCACCCACACACCTGAAGTTTTCTATACCATTGGATTTTAATAATTTGTGGAGGGGAATTGCGTCTATTTCAAAATAATTATGGCAATATGCGATGTTATTTTAATGCGGGGTTAACTTTAATTTCTCGGAACAGAATCATAAAAGGTTAGTTTAATTCAAATTTATTTTTTATTGCTGTTTCATTAGATTTCAGCACATTTTTGCTGCACATTTTGCAAAACAGTTTTCAACCAAAAAAAAATATTTCAAATTTTACTTTTAAAAAAAATAATGTAAATACTCGCATGCATTATCATAATATCAAAAAAAGAAGAATACAGGTGAGACATGATATATAAATTAATAACCACCTATGTATATAAGTTTGATAAAGTATCATTTTAGATATAATTGGTACTAAAACTCCCATTTCTATGCGTTTTTAATTATTGGCTTTCGATAGACGAACCTAATGAAATCTATCCAATGAAGTTTTTTTTTCCTCCTTTGGCTAAACTTCGAGGATTGTTTTTTTTTCACAGATTGCTAAGCCTTATTTAAATTCCAAAAAGAAATATGAGTAGAAAAGATGTTCTACCCTGATTCTTAACCTCCTTTTATGTCTGTAAAAATCAGCCTTAATGGGTGTAAAGTTTAATGCCTTCTTTAAGAGATAAAAACAGATTGCGCCTTTTTATTTTGTTATAAAGAACGATCCAAAAGTTATTTTTATTTCTTTGTGGGTGGTTCATTGAATTGATTTTAGCGTAACTGTAACAAAAATCATATACGTTTTGCATACGAAAAAGATTCCTCTCGTTATGTCAAAAATGTCAAGGATTGTAATGTGCAATGATATACCTTAGTGCTTTAATTTTCGACTCTACATATTATTTATATATATACAGTCCCTGGCACAATTATTCGACGCGCTATATAAGATTCTATGTAAAATCTTAATCATCAAGTGATACTTTACCTGATTGTATTTATGTTTACCGTATTACATTACAATGTTAACCCATTGATACACTAACATAAACAACTGTAAATTGGTTTCAGCCACGTAAAAACAATAATGCTGTGTAGTATAACCTGATAATTAAAATTATAAATAGAATCTTATAGTGCGTCTATTAATTTGGCCNGATATATAATATAAATTAGACGATTGGATAAATCAAACGATATATAATATAAATTAGACGATTGGATAAATCAAACGATATATAATATAAATTAGACGATTGGATAAATTAAACGATATATAACATAAATATAGGGTAGTTGTTATATTAGGTATTATATAAGTATATTATAATAATTTGACCCAATTATTTGAAGCACTATAGTGTTTTTATAATGACATGTTTTGCACGAGTTTATACGCAATACTTTTATATTTCAACATACACGTAATCGGTTTTCATTCAGGAGATTGTTTACATACTTCCTTTTTGTATTTATGTTTAACGTATTACACTACAATGTTAACCCATTGATTCACAAACATAAACAAGTGTAAATTGGTTTCAGCCGCATAAAAACAATAAAGCTGTAGTACATCACTTGATAATTAAGATTTTACATGGAATCTTACAATGCGTCTAATAATTTTGTCCATGGACTGTATATATAAATTATACGATTAGNATATATAAAATATACATACATATTTACTTAACGGTATTTTATAAATTGCTCTTGTATTTTGCACTGTGTATTGTAAGAGAGTGCTTTAAAGCTTCATTTTTCATCATTTAATAATGGATCATTTCAATTACAATGAATGATCACGTGTCACGTTCTATGATGTGTTTATCACGTTAATCTACTCAATGTGCCGAGCAGTCTATCCTTTTATATAATCGAGGGAGAAATTCTTTCTCTCCAGTTCCTATTGAGAGAGCACTTCCATTTTTTTTATTGTTCGGCAGGCAAAAAAAAATAAATAATAATAAAAAGTACACTTTATATGATAAACGCATGTGACTTTCCCCCTTCACGGAGAGAATCATTTTATCGCATCTTTTGAAATGATCCACATTCAGAAGTCTTCTCTTCCTTTTTTACGCATTGAATTCAAATATAAACGCAATCTATACTCATTGGTTCTCACAATGAAAACAACGTTTCAAAATATCATGACGGAAATAACACTCTTCTACAAATCCGTGAAAAATAAAGACTTGAATATTCATGGAGTTCAAATTTGGGCCACGAATGTTCATGGCATTCTATGATAAATGAGGTCATAAATATCCATGGAATTCGATTAAGAAGAAGGGACATGAATATCCATGGAATTTGATTGAAATGACAGACATGAATATTCATGGAATTCGATTAAAGTAAGGGACGTGAATATTCATGGACTTCGATTAAAATGAAGAACAGGAATATCCATGGAATTTGATTGAAATGAGAGACATGAATATCCATGGAATTCGATTAAAGTAAGAGCCATGAATATTCATGGAATTCAATCGTGTCATTAGGAAGGGACAAAATGTCTAGAAATTGATGTTTTCGACTGAAAAGTTGATTATCGTACCTTTTAAATCTGTTGAGTTCTAGACATGGTGGACTTACAAATGATTAACGTAAACTAGGTTACATTATATTTTTTTCAAAGAAAATTCCACTAAATTCTGACTAGTTCACGCGATACGAATAAAAATTATGTGATGTTCCATTAAAACTGGAAAGTCTATTGTGCTTATGTCTGAATTCAACACCTTTATGAAATAAGTTTTAAAAAAAAAAAATTACGTACCAAAATCTTTTGTTGACTTGCATTATTCCTCTTGACTGAAAAATATTAGACTCTAAGACTTATAAACTTAAGGTTCTAATTTTAAATATTTACACAAACTATGCATTTCAGTTATCTGAAGAACCCCCCTGTGTCAATTGCATTATTTTAAGAACAAGAAGTGAGATTTCAAACATTCGATGATATAACAAAGATTAATTTTAAATAAATAATGATAATAAATATTATGTGAAAAAAAATTCCGAACTGTCATTAATAAAAATGTCTAAAGCTATCTTCTTGTATGTTTTTAAACTGAACTGTCGTCATAAGTAATCAAATCACAAAATGAAATATTTCTTTTTCGAATGTTTAGGAAGATTCTTTATTTCTGCAATATGTTAAACAGAACTACTATCATATACTATGTGGAACAACTTATTTTTAATCATTAATGACTTGATAAGTTCAGTTTTGATAAGTTAAATATTATTACGGAAATATTTTAATACCGCTTGCGGAATAAAATAAATAATATTGTTCTCTGACATGGGGGCTCTGATACAAAATTTGTAATAAAACGTTCAAATTTAGTCTGACGAGCAATTTTAAAACGAAAGTATGTTAATATTAAAAATAAACCGATTGCAAGCTATAATTTAAAAACTAAACCAAGCAATATTAATGAAACGAAAGTATATTACATTAAAAATAAACCGATTACAAGCTATAATTTAGAAAATAAACCGAGCAATATTATAAAACGAAAGTATATTTAATATTAAAAATAAACCGATTACATGCTATTGAAAACTAAACCGAGCAATATTATAAAACGAAAGTAGTATATATAATATTACAAATAAACCGATTACAAGCTATAATTTAAACACTAAACCGAGCAATATTATAAAACGAAAGCATATTTAATAATAAAAATAAACCGATTACAAGCTATCATTTAGCGCGCATCAAATAACCTTTTTTTCATTAACATTAATCAATCGGACTTCCGGATGAGTTTCAACGTTGTCGAACGAAAACTGTGTGTTTATTTTTAACAGGAGACAACGTTGGCTCAAATTCATACGAAGTTATGGGATGAGTTATATTTGTTTAAATCATAAGGTGAATGATTGTACAAATCCCCTTCATTCATAAGAAAACTGCACTTATCCACAGCACTCAGTAGTTAGACGTCACATGACTTTAGTCACGTGTTTCCATTCATATTTATTGCATCCCAGTGTACCTCACAATAAAATCCTCGAGTTGTAATCAAAAGAAGAGAACGAAAGGTGTTTTTTTCTCATTCGCTACTGAAGGCTTTTAACTCATTCCAATAACATTGATTGATCAACATATTTTCATGAAAACATGTAAAATACAATATAACAATAATTAACGAATTGAAGATCATAAATGAATACAGTTACAGGCATTCTGGATCGTGCTACTCCTGATGCAGCAAATGCATGTAATTATTACGATACAGAGACTGCATACGATATTTTAAAATAAAAAACGATTTCCGGTAAAAGAAATAGGTCTGTTAAAACACGAGGGAGAAAAATACACAAGAAAATTAATAAATATATGTTCAAATATTAGAAAGAAAGTTTTTGATTATTCATATGTTCTCCAGGCAAAGGAATAAAATGAATTTTCTCTGACAATATTTAATCTAATAATATGACTATATAATTATGTCTTAACGATGATGCAATTATTTATAGAATTCTAAAAATATTTCGTATTAGAATTGGAAGTATTTTTGTAACATTTAATATATCATTTAGATTATTTAAAAAATTGTACAAAAACTTACTCAGCTGTAGGGTTTATTTATAATTAATAGAAAAATAAGCTTAATTAATTAAATTGGCGTAACCTCTTTTCTCTCATAAATACAAGCATATGTATCTATAGGCAATAGAGGAAGAAATAACGATATTAATTGTTCAATATAACGTATTCGAAATCTCGAACAAAAATTATTTCTGTTTTGAAGAACTTTTTAAACAAATGAAATGTCTCGTTTGGACAATGATCACAAATAAGAAGCAATAATTAAGTTTTTCTAGAATACAAGTGACATTGCACCTGTTTTAACTGTACACTAGTTTAAAGTAACAAGTCTTGGCTTTTCTTAAAAATTGCTGAGTCATTTTTCAGAAATTAAATCATGTAACAATATTTGTGCAATTTCTCATTGATTAAACAGAGGAACATTTTCTATGCGGACGTTTCTTGTGTGTTGCGCTACATAATAGAGTGGCAACTTCTGGTTGAGTAAAATCGAACAAAAATCCTACATCAATGTCTTTGATTTTTTGAAATATAACAGATCGTTTCTGCTATATAGGTGGCAATCTAAAACAAAAAATATAGCTATTAAATGATTTTATATATAGCTTTATACAAATTATGTTGAACTTCACTTTCTTATAGACTCAGGGAATCCAAAAAAGTGAGGAAATTTTTTTTCTGAAAATCTGGTTGCAAAGTTCCATTGACATGTTTCTTTTGCTTCTTACATGATCTACCTCTTCGTTCCAGAATTCTTTAGAAGACAATCAGTCTAGTCGCTATTTTAGAATTTGGATTATAACAATTGAAAATCTGAATTATTTATATGATCCTATCGTGAGAGATATTTATAGTACAATATCTGTTCAGATATTTTCATAACAGAAAGTAATCAACTAATATACTTATAAAAAAAACTGGATGTTTTCTACTCACAACATTTAGTTGAAAACAATTATGACCATCTGATTAGAAATTATTACATGGTGCCTACCGTTTTTGAAAATTACATAAAGGTGCTTTTTTCAATTTTCGTTTTTTAAAAGCCCCTAAAGGTGCTTTTTTCATTGGATGTTTTTAAAAATATGCTTAATTTTCCTGTTTCGAACATGAGATTTTTTTTTTCTTTTCCCTGTCCATTTTCGCCACGTATTATGCCAAAGCATGCTTTTCACATTGTTCTATTCAACGTTTCCACAATTTATTTCAGCGTACCGTCGGTCCACAGCGTATGAAAGCGTCAATCATTTTACAGGTTTAATGAAATACTTGCGAGTCCGCATGTGCGTATAGTGAGTTGGGTTAAATGAGATTATTGCACTTTCTTGTGCAACTCTGCTGCATTTTGCAAAATATTCTCTATTTCAAGCTTCATTTTCCACTCTCTGAAAATCTCTTGATCATTTTTTAATGGTTAAAATAATCAAGAAAAGAGTTCTTTGTCGAAAACTAATATTATCAACGATCATGTAAAGTCTTAGAAAATTATTTTGCATTTTGTTAATGTATATGGTGCTTAGAAATATTTTTAATTGCTTAAAAAGTATTTAAA